CGGCGCCCTCGCACCCGGACCAGATTGGCAGGGCCGGTGCCCCTTTCTCCGGCTCTTCCTCTCAGCCTCCTTCCCCTGCTGTCTCGTAGATCGAAACCCACAAGCTGACCTTCCGTGAGAACGCCAAAGCCAAGACGGACCACGGGGCGGAGATCGTGTACAAGTCGCCCGTAGTGTCCGGGGACACGTCTCCGCGGCACCTCAGCAACGTGTCCTCCACGGGCAGCATCGACATGGTAGACTCGCCCCAGCTCGCCACGCTAGCTGACGAAGTGTCCGCCTCCCTGGCCAAGCAGGGCTTGTGATCAGGCCCCCGGGGCGGCCAATCATCGTGGAGAGAAGAGAGTGAGAGAGTGTGGAAAAAAAGAGTAATGACCTGGCCCCTCGCCCTCTGCCCCCAGCTGCTCCTCACAGGTCGGGTAATCGGTTAATCACTTAACCTGCTTTTGTCGCTCGGCTCTGGCTCGGGACTTCAAAATCAGTGATGGGAATAAGAGCCAATTCCATCTTTCCAAATTGATGGGTGGGCTAAGAATAATAAATGTTTTTAAAAACACGTTAACGATGGCCACACCCAACATTTCCTTGGGCAATTCCGTTTGATTTTTTTCCCCCCTCTGAGTAGAAGAGGAAGAAAGTCAGGCTCTGAAAGGTGCTGCTGGGGTTTCCAGGGGCCTGGGGCGCCCTCTGGCCCCATCCTGGGGATGTCACAGAGGCTGTGGCAGCAACAAAGGATTTGCAACTTGGTATGTTGGTGTGAGCTGGACAGGTAGGGGTGGGGGGAGACACAGGAGAGGCTGAGGCAGGGGTGGGCAGGGCAGCGGGAAAGAGGGAGGGGGGAGGTAAGAGTACGAGGGAGAGGAGACCTGCTCCCTATGGAAGGGCAGCAGGGAGCACAAGCAGTCTCCACTGGGGCCTCCTGCGGCTGGTGGCCAGGGTCTGGCAGGTGGGTGTGCCTTCCTCAAGGGCAGGGCAGGGCAGGGCAGGGCAGGCACCTGTGGAAAAGGGCTCCAGCCCCTCCCACCTGCCTGGCAGGAGAAGGCTGGCTGGCAGGAGGGTGGCTGGCAGTGGGTGGGTGACTTCCTTAGAGAAGGCTGGCCTCCGGCCTCTGCCCCCGCTGCAGGGGCGGGGCGGGGTGGTCCTCACCTGAAGGGCTTCCCTCCACCCGAGGGACACTGTTCAATTGCGTTCTGAAGGTTGGAAGTGCAGCCACGATTTTGGCCACCTCACTGATCTGGGACTTTAGGGCTAACCAGTTCTCTTGTAAGGACCTGTGCCTCTTGTGGGACACCCGCCTGTTCCCAAGCCTGGGCCGCTGGCATCTCTAGAGTGTGCGGGGGTGGGGGTGGGGGGGCAGAAGGGGGTCCTGAGCCTCCCGTTCCTCCCACCCCACTGCAGCCAGCTGCCTGCCCCCACCACACCCTGTGTCTGCTGGGTGGAGCCCAGTCACTGCCTGTACCCCTCATTATGTCACACTGTCCTGAGTCCCCAGCCTCACCACCCTTCTCAGTAGTTCACATTGTTTGGATGTGGGAGGCACCTAGTCTTAACTAAGGGGTGAAATCAAGGGAAGGCAAAGTTCGGGGCACAAGGTGGGACCTCGGTTTCTAGGTCTGTTACACTCATCCAACTGGCCTGTCTCTCATGATGAACCTGATGACCTTACCTCCCATCCAGACGTGGGGCTTGGCAAGGCCAGGATGGCGCTCAGCAGTGACCCTGGATGTGGACTTGGAGAGCCTTTCCCTCCCAGAAGGCCTGCCCCTTCCTGTGTTGAGCTGCAGCAGGTTGGATGTCCTGGTTGTCGGAGATGGCACCAGGATAGGCAGGCCCCCCGGGAGGGACCACGTTCCCTGTCCCTCACCTCCACCCCAGCCTCTGACTGCCAGCCTGGCAGAGCGCCCCACGCTGCTCAGCCTCAAGTGCATATAGTCAGCCCTCCACACCCCACAAGGGGACATGCCCACTTGGAAATGGTTCTCCCCGTCCCAGCTGGAAGCAATGCTGTCTGTCTGCTGGAGCAGCTGAACATATACATAGATGTCGCCTTTCCCTCCCCGTCTGCACCTGTCGCGTTGTCGTCAGATTTGTCTGTTTATGCTTGGATTCACCTGAGTGACTATGATAGTGAAAAGAAAAGAAAAAAAAAAAGGACGCATGTATCTTGAAATGCTTGTAAAGAGGTTTCTAACCCACCGGTGGGGGTCCTGGATCGCTCTCCCCTGGGCTGGGACCCCAGGCCAGTGTGGCTCTCCCCTGCTTGGCCTCCCGAGAGGTTTCCTTCAGCATCTGGGACCAGCAGAGCGCAGATTCTGACAGCGGAGGGCCCTCGGCTGGAAGAAGGCCTGACGCACAGAATGAGGACCAAGGAAGCTGTGCCCCTCCCCACCCCGGGCTTCCCTTTGCCGGGCAGAGCTGTGTCTTGGGCTGGCTTGGCTTGCAGCGTGAAAATGCCCTCTCTGGCCACAGCCTGGAGAAGCCCCACAGCAGCCCTGCATCACCAGGAAGATGAAGCCAGCGCCAGCTGGGGAAAGGTCCCAGGGCCTTGCCGCCACAGCTGCCCGGCAGAGGAAGGATGACGCGCCAGGAGACACCATTCCCGAAGCCTGGCCAGAGCCCGCGGACCTAGCAGGAGTCCGTCTGCTGCCTCGGGAAAGGGAAGCAGCCGCTGTGGAAATTCAGCCTCGGGACCGGTTCTGCCACTTCCGGTTTAGTTGACGGCAGCTGGGCTGGAGGCTTCATTTGCAGTCAGAGCTTTCGGCTGTCCCGTGAGTCCCAGCTGCTCTTGCGGTTCTAAAAAAAAGGAAATGTGGTTGAAAGGACTGGTAGCTGTTAGTGGCCCCTCATCACTGCCACTAGTGCACTGCACCGCCTCTTCCTGCAGCTCCGGTGCCCTCTTCTCTGACACCTGACTCCGAGGGCCCTGGAATCTCCCTGGGAGGGTGGGCTGCTTGGGGTCAGCCTCAAAATTATGGTTTAGGGTGATCAGGTCAGTGTTGGGGAGGAGAGACAAAGGGGTGCTGGCTTGTGACCTTAAATGAGGACAATCCCCCAGGGCTGAGTTCTCCCCATTCCCTCTCTCCAGTCAGTGTCCCTTGGGTGGGCTGGGTATGCTTATGCCGGGTTCCTTCAAGCTCTCCATTCTATCAATAGTTCCATTTAAATTGACTTCAATGGTGAGACTGTATCCTGTTTGCGATTGCTTGTTGTGCTATAGGGGTTGGGGGGAGGAACCTGTAAGATAGTTACCATGGGCAAGGGGAAGTCTTGGAGTGCAGCAGTTAAACCTCCTTGTAACCCTTTTCTTCGCCATTTCAACCGCATTTGCTAGAGGTCCTGGGGGTGCCGCCTTTTCACCGACTGGATTCCCAAGTGCAGTAGCTGCCAGCTGCTTCCCATGTCCTTCCCAGCCAGGTGCAGGCGGTGAGGCTTGTGGAGGAATCTGGAGATGTGGTTGCTCTGGTCTCTTGCTGGGCCCCAAGCCCACAATCGTGCCTCCCAGACCCTGGCAAACTTTGCTGTAAGCCGTGGGCACCTCTGTATCACTTTTCCCACTGACTCTGGACATGCAGCCTCTATCTAGCAGCTGCCAAGATCTTTTCCTTCACCCTCTTTTATCTTTGTCCCCCAAGAGGCAGGGATGAGGGTAAAGATGGAGGTCACTGTGTCCCATCTATAGGTCCGTGGCTTCATGAGACTTCTAGTTGCGCTTCAGTTTTGAAAAGGGTTATCCTGGGCACTGACCCAGGCTCACCTCCTAATGGACTTAGCCCATGAATTTGCAGTGTCTGGCAGGGCAATTTCTGACACTTGCAAGTCCCATGATTTCTTCAGTAATTTTAAGGGTGGGGGGTGGGGTGAGGGGAAACAATCTTAGCTTAGCTTCCTGTCTGTGAATGTCCATATGGTGTATTGTGTGTTTTAACAAATGATATACACGGACTGTTGCTGTAAAAGTGAATTTGGAAATAAAGTTATTACTGATTAAATGAGGTCTATGTGCATAAATTCAAAAGACAAATGCTATGGGATGTATGACTTTCACGTCTTTTTTCAGCTTTGGAGAACTTAGCTCCGAATAGGGAAAGACAATGTTGTTAAAACCGGGCCATGAGGGTTTACCAACTCTCTCTAGGGCCCAGAAGGTGAAAGAAGAGTTCTCAACCTTTTCATTTTCAGGCCGACTGTCTCATTCTGGTGCTCAGAAAGGTCCTGGTCAATACCCTTGGGGCTGACCCATTCTAGTGATTTCAACCCTGAAAAGACTGGGGTTGCTATATGAGATGTTTTCTTCCCTGGAAATGAGCCTCGAGGCCTGGGGCTGAAGCAGAACACCAGCCAATCAGCTGAAGGAATGGCTTACCTCTCTTGCAGGCTTACAGAGCTGCCTTCCTCCTCTTGGGAGCAGTACTGGGGAACAGGTCTGCTAAATCAAAACAGGGATACCAGCCAACCCCTAGCAATGTCACAAAGAGAAACAATAACAAAACAAACCATCATCTTATTGTTCCTCAGTAATCAGTTCAAGGTCTTAACATGGAGCCCTTAGATTTTCCTTAGCCACTGCAGACAGAAGCTGAAGTAGAGATCGCAACTGTAACTAGAGGAGCAGCAGCAGGGCGGCCACAAACGTGACCTCGCCAACTGCTGCTTCCACGACCAGGATAGGCAGCTCATTGGCGGTTTCAACTTGACTGCCATGAAAAGGAAAAAAACAATAAAGAACAGGCCCACCCACTTACTCATCTTTATAGAAAGAAAATCAAGCACCTGGCCTCCTCAAAGATACTGTAATCTCAGGCAGCAGATAAGCAGCTCAGGCTCCATACGAAGCATATGTTCTCACTGGCCCCCACCTGCTTTCTGGTGATGATAAGATGACCCTGCGAGGTGCCCATACGACAGAATAGAGACGTCTCAAAGTCCACAGCAAGTCAGGACACCAGAGAACTGTGCAGCAATACCATGTCCAAGTGGCAAAAAAGGCCCAGCACACAAAGTTCTGTAACTTTTTTTTATTTTTTTCATTTTTTCCTTCCTTTTTTTTTTTAAGCACTAGTCTGTGCTTTGCGAACAGAATCAAGACATTAACAAAGATCAGCTTCTCTGAAGAAAAGCATTTCTATAGAACAAAGACAGCTACATGTTTCGCTGCCAATACACAGCTCAAAGCAGAAAAAAGAAAATATTTACAAAATACAAGGTTTTTTTTTCCATTTTTGTTTTTGTTTTTTTTTTTTTTTTACAATGCTAAAAGGGTTATTCAGAATTTTCAACCTTATAAATAGAAGAAGCACTTTATGCATAGGGATATGGTGCATTATTGTTTTTTTAAAGAAACAATGACAAACCCTTTAACTTGCAAACAGAATCAAAAAGAATCACTAATGTTGAAAATTGTGAAAAAACCCCAACCATTAAGCAGTTTGCTTACTATTTTTATATGATTACAAAATGGCAAAAAAAAAAAAGTCCTTATTGCCCCTTTTGGTACTGTGATCATACATGAGACAGGCACAAGGGTAACAACCAGGGAGTGATCATGGGGGAGCGGTGGGAACCACAGCTGGGACCAGACAATGTTCCACAGGAAAGGGAAACTTAAAAGAGGAAGGGCCGAACTGACACTGACAGGGAACTGGAGGGGGAAGGAAACGACTGAATGAATCAGCCGGAGAAAACAGAATTACATAGAAGAAATGGCTGCTCACTTCCCAGACCCCTGGTTTGCAGAGGTGGGAATAGAGGTTAAGTAGTCCTAACTCTAGCTTCATGGAACAGGAGAGGGTAAAAAAGTCCCAGTGGAAGAACTGGTGTGCGTAGGTATGTATATGGCATGGGGAGCAGACGAGAGCACGAAGGGGCAGGATGGGGACCTGAGCAGCCACAGCCAGGTTAACTGCAGTTAAGGAGTCAATACAGAGATGACCAAATGCAGAGGAAACTCCACATCCGTCTCCGAGATCTGGGTGACAGGGGAAGCCATTCTAGCTGGCAGTTACAGCTGAGGCTCTGGCGCGGGTGCTCCAGCACAGATGGCCAAGGGAGACCCAGCCAGGAGGGCCGGAGCTGAGCCAAGCCACAGGTGGGAGGGGAGCAGAGGAGTGGGGAAGGGTAAGAGCCCAGAGCGAGCTGCTCTCCCACCCTAACCTAAGGTGGCAATACTGAGCTGGAGCTTTCCATTCCCTCTGCCCACTTGGCTGTTCCACCCTGCCCACAGGTGCGAGGGAGAGGTGGTCATCAAACGCCGCTAAGTCCAGTGATTCAACAGTGCAGAGGATGTGCCAGGACCAGGCCCGGCAGGGTCTTATCCTGAACTTCTGTTTGCCAGCTGGAGGAAGTGCTCAGGTGTGTGACAACAAACATGGAAACCAAAACCAAAACAAAACAAAAATCAAAATGAGAAAAAAAAATAACAAAGCAGAATCTAAATTCCTTAAATTCACTAAAAACTGTGAAAATTTCCGGCATATGATGTTTGAATATCAAACGCAGAGATTTCTGAAGCTTTAATGCCAATAGTTAGTGAGTCTTTAGATTCTCGTCTCCCGCTCATCTGTGAGTTGGACGCTGAGCTGTGACTGTCGCTGCTAGATGCCGACTCTTGAGGGGGACAATGGGAGGTGAGGTGGGTGCCACCTCTGTCTCTCGACCAGTCTTGCTGCCTGAGGTGCGCCGAGTGCAGCGAGCTGCCCGTTCCTGCGCATCCAGTTGGTCCTCACACTCTGCTTGGGGACTGTACGCCAGGGGGAAGGTTCGCCGCTCCCATGGCTGGACAGACTGTGGGCAGACAAGTTGCCTTGGTGAGCACCCAGTACAAGCTGCCTCCTGCCCCAACACATGTGGACTAGAGTCCCTGACCAGTCTCTCTCGAGTTCCTGGGTGGTTTGGGAAGACCCCTCACAGAGTGGGCGCCCTTTTAACCATGGCCAGTTCCATTGTGCCTTCAGAAGGTCAATTTCAAGTGCAGCCCCTCCTCCCCTTCACAATGGGAGGCAGTCATGACATGAAGATCCATCTTCAGCAGTGCTGCCCCTTCCCCATCTCACCCCCCACCTGCCAACCCATGCAAAGGCAGCATCCCTTACCTGCTCGTCCAGCCCCAGCTCTGGCGTGGAACAACGGGTGTCGTCACTGGCTAGGTGTCGTAGAGTGTCCCGTGCCACAGGGGTGAGGGGGGCCGAGTGCAGTTCCGGGCTGATGGGGCTCCTGGGGGACTGACCGTGGGAGAACTCCGACAAAGAGTGGCTACTACTGACATCAGGAGAGGGGGGTTGGGGGGTGGAGGGGTTGGCACTGCCCAGCTGGGGGGTTGTCCGGCCGTCTGATGACCTGTAAGACCTGTACACCAAGAAGTGCAAATCTGAGTGCCTGAGTAAAGGGAATTTCTAGTATATTATTGGGGAGTGGGGGAGGAGGGTTCTGGAGAGGCATGAAAGCAAGTGTCCCACCAGAGGAGCCAAGGTAGACTAACACCAACAGTTCTTTCCCAGGAATCACAAATCCCCTCACATCCTCCCACCACTGAGTACAAAGGTGGCTACACAATATGACATCTAGAACTGTCATCCCAAAAGAAAGCCAGGGCTGAACAATGCCAGCACTGATCCCTGCCCAATGCCTAGAACTCACAGGGGAAGGGAAATTAGTTCAGACTCGGAAAATTAGTCAAAGGAAAGAGCAAAATCTAAATCTTTCTAGTTGAGAATCCCGAGGGCTTCTGCAACTGTGAACAATAACTGGAGATAAGGTGGGGCAGTTCCTTCGAGCACGACCACACAACCATGCTTCACTGTCCAAAGGAAAGACAGTGTGTGGTGAGGCCTCCAAATGTCAGTCAGCCTGCTTTTCAGGAGACCAGAGTCTGACTGCTTATATTCTCACTGGTTGCAACAAACACCAAGGAACTTCTGTATTCTCGGCTACTGCCAATGGCTGAATATGAAGAACAAAAGCAATTGAGATGCAGTGGCAATTCCATGGACACGGCCCAAATTCCCTGTCCCATCACCTGCTGCCCCGCCGCTGGGGTGGCACGCTTGTGGTCCACAGCCACCTAGCCCTCTCCATCTCCTCACATTTGGCATGCAGGGCGGCGAAGGCTGCATCAGACAAGTCCTCGATCTGCAATAGAGCAGCTTCAATGATTAACAATTTCTTCCAGAAAGCTGAGTTTAAGAATGGGTAGGTCAATTCTAGAGCCAGCCCCACCCCACACCAGCCTCTTCCCTGTCAAAACAGGAATGTGAGCTTGCAGCATTTGACACCACAGGTCTGGATGTGTACACCCACGTGTGTATCTTCTTTAAGAAGGAATGACCATGCCATTACCTCTTCGTTCTCTTCGTCAGGATTCCCCTTCAGAGACCGAAAATCAACCTCCCGCCAGCTGCAAAACCAAGAAGGGACAATCATGAGATGGCAAGTTTCCGGAGCAGGTTAAACATGTCCATGCAAGAATGAGAGCCATGTACCTATGAGTGACACTGCTTTCTGCTGGCAGGCTCTGCCCTCTTATAGAGCTTGTCCTCCTTTGCCCTGGAGGCCTCTAAAAGAGGCCCCACACTCAATATCCACAAGGGCCAAAAACCCAATGCAGGTTCGGAGACTGACAAAAACAAAGGAACCTATTTAAAGGGACCACCACTATTTAGCACCAGCAGATTGCTACCACATGGGATTGCATATACACGGTCACCCAATCTTCTGATATAACAACAAAAGCTAGAAACAGAGATTCATATGTGAAGTCCTGCTTTGATGCTGACGACAAATTCAGTATTTTAAAACACACTGTTGTGTCAAAACCAAAAACGTCTATCACCACTTTGTGGCCTGTGGTCTGATTAGACCAGCGGTTCTCAACCTGTGGGTCGCAACCCCTTTGGCAGTCGAACGACCCTTTACAGGGGTCGCCTAAGACCATCCTGCATATCAGATATTTACATGACGATTCATAACAGTAGCAACATTACAGTTATGAAGTAGCAACGGAAATAATTTTACGGTTGGGTCACAACATGAGGAACTGTATTTAAAGGGCCAGAAGGTTGAGAACCACTGGATTAGACTTAAATAATGGAATGAGAGAGAACTAATAAGAAATAATTTCACTTCTGTTACACACAACTTCCTCTTAAAAAGAAGACAAAACTCAAAGCTAGGACCCAGAGCTCAGTGATGAGAGACAAAGTAAAAAGGAATAAGGAGAGAAGCTGATTTATTTAAGTCCTCTACCTGGGAGTAAGGATTTCCTTGTATTGCAGTTTCTCTACACGGGTTGTTGCAGCAACAGACATTGGGATGACAATGTTGTTAATGTCAAATGAGCTCTCTCCCCTTCTCCTCCTTATTGGCTGCTGTAAGACAAAGGTAAGTTTGAAAGAGGCACAATTCTACAAACATCAAAGCATACACCAGAGACTTAAAACAGAATCACCAATAAACAGGCACTTGGGTCCCACAGGTGGGGGCTGGGCAGCAGCTGCTTGCTTCTAGAAGATGGTCTCCCATAGCAAAGCCCTCAGGAGAAATATTAGGTGGGTCCTGGTAAGTACCTCCTGTGCACAGGTCTCACTGTCCACCCGCCCCCTTCATGGGCTCATGTGAAGAGAATTCTGTGAATTTCACAGGGTGGGTATTCTGGGGCCTTGAGTCAGTTGTGGTTCCTATTCCTCTATAAACACCTTTACTACCCTTCCCCCTTACTTTAAAATAATTTTTAATACACATTTTAAACTGATTTTTTTTTAGACAAAGAGGAAGAGAGATAGAGATAGCAATCAGCTGTCCCTTCATGCCCTCTACCGGGGGTCGAGTCTGCAACCCAGGCATGGGCCCTGACTGGAAATTGCACCTGCAACCCTCCTGGTGCATAGGAAGGACACCTAACACCAACTGAGCCACTCCAGCCAGGCACCTCTCTCCACTTTAAATCCTTTCTGCTCCCCCTTTTTATCCCCAACCATGACTCAGACTCACAGTAGCTCCTAAAAGCAATGCTTAAACCTAGTGGTGACTCTTCGGGTTATAAAGATGATTTCCCTTATCCTGAAAGATGCCCCCAAAATAGGTCCCGCTCAATAGATCATCTAACCTTGGATGTCATGAAATCACCTCCTTCTTATAGATCTGAACTCTTCAACTAAATCTGAACCCATCATCTGCTCAGCCACTATGTGATTTCCCTCTTTGTGGCTATTATTCTTGGGGGAAGAGCTGAGAGCTTTCTAGATGAGTGGAGAGAAACTGAAGAAGAGGACTGGGTTCTATAGCTCACTCCTGGAAAGGGAAGTTGAGAAGATCAAACTCTTGGGAAAGACTAATGAGGATCCAATGAGAAGGTGGGCACCTACAGCAGCTGGGAGATCAAAGAAGGAATAAAGCCAAAAGGCTTGGTAGATGGAGGAAAAAGCCCACTAGCTGTTTGTGCCCAGATAGCAAACACCCTCCACCCTGCCACAGAGACTGGCAATTGAGCTGTGAGAGGCCAGAGGGAAACAGTGGGTGACAAATGTGCTGCCGTGGCGACAATACAGCTGGAAACACCTAAGAGACTGCATTCAAACCCAAACCACCATGTGTGCTTGGCCCAGAAGAGGTTAGCGAAAGAAGATGAGGAAGAGGTTGTTCCCTACAACCAACCACTCTACTCTGTTTCTGGAGGGCGACATATAATTGACTCACCCCATCATTTCAGGACATTCTCAGAGAATGTTGAAAGGCAGTGCGCTTCCTGGGCAAGGAATTTAACTGCGTTACCTATGACTTAAGGTTATCACAATGTCTTTCTCACCTGAAGTTCCTTCTCTATCAAGTGAAAATAGATCAGTGATTTTCAACCTTTTCTATCTCATGGCACATGTAAACTAATTAGTAAAATTTTGTGGCACACCCAAGAATATATTTTTTCCTGATATAACAACAACAACAAAAGGTATAATTTTGATTCAGTCACACCAGATGGATATGGTTGTGTTGGCTGTTGTCATTTTCTTATTTGACAATCTAAGGGAAAAGAGGTCAGTGCCCTGGACTACATAGTCAGGTATTGCATGTTTTAAAAATTCTTGCAGCATATTGGGTGAAAATCACTGGAATAGACTGTCATTGATTGCCACACCTTTGTTGAAACTGTATGTCCTACTATAAGAAGAGTTCCTTAAGGAAACCCCAACAGATAGCTTTCCATATACCTTAATCAAGAATGAATGCGAACCCTAACCGGTTTGGCTCAGTGGATAGAGTGTCAGCCTATGGACTGAAAGGTCCTAGGTTCGATTCCGGTCAAGGGCATGTACCTTGGTTGTGGGCACATCCCCAGTGGGAGGTGTGTAGGAGGCAGCTGATTGATGTTTCTCTCTCATCGATGTTTCTAACTCTCTATCCCTCTCCCTTACCCTCTGTAAAAAAAAAAAATCAATAAAATATATTAAAAAAAAGAAAAGAATGAATGCGAGCTCGGCTGGTACGGCTCAGGTGGTTGAGTGTCATCCTATACAACAGGTCACTGGTTCAATTCCCAGTCAGGCACATGCCCAGATTTCGGGCTTGATCCCTAATACGGGGCGTACATGAGGCAGCCAACCGATGTTTCTTTCTCTATAAAATAAATTTTTTAAAAAAGTGAAACTGCTGCCAGAAACAGGTATATATTTTCCCTAAAATGACTCGCCCCCATTCCGTCAGATACTAATTTGGTCAAACATAACTGCTCTTCTCCTGTTTAGAATCAGAGAGAGCAGGTGATGGGAATGGACAGTGGTTCCCAAACCTGGTTGCACATCAGAAGCAAGATGAAGAGGGAGAGCTTAAAAAAAAAAAAATTCTCGGACTCCCCTTTCTGACTATGAAATCAGAATCTTCAGGGATATTTTTAAAAGTAATTGAGTTGATTCCGATGCATCCACAGTCTTTTGTGAAGCACTAGCATACACACCTCTTCCTGCTCTCTGTCCCCCTAAATGTCTCTCCATGTCCTTTAGTTTCTCTACCTTATTTTAAGTATCTGGGCTTTCACTTTATTAAATAAATCCAGCTTCTTAGAGAAAAAAAAAAAAAAGGCAGCAAGAGCCTTAATGATTAACACAGGGTTATGTACAAAATTAATATTCAATAAATAATAAGTAAAAATGTCAAATGATCCAGGCCCAAGTTTACAGTCTCCAGACACAGGAGGGTTGGCAGGTGAGAAATACTGAATCTCAGAGTTCAGATTTTCTATCAGAATTCAACTCCCTCTGAAATCCTTTGGTCTTTTGGTTATCTACCTTTTGCTGATGGGTAGCTAAGTTTGTGATAGATACCACATACACCTATTTAGACAAAATTTGTGGAATGTAGGAGGTGAAGAAGAGGAAGGAACATGGAGACTATTAAGAGCAAAGACAGAACAATGTGAATTCCTACCTGATCACAGTTACCTAGTGAGCACATTTTGTGGGCTTAGAAGTTTCTTGATGTCAGTTCTGAAGGGGTTTCAAAGCCCCTGCATAAGGTGCCTCTGCCATGGGGTGCCCCAGTGGTCAACACTGTGTATGTAATGTAAGAGAGCCAGCTCTGCAGCCAGGCGGCCTGGGTTTGAATCACAATTATAACCATCACAAATTGCCTTGCTTATGCAATTTATTTAACTTTGGAAAGCCTTAGTTTCCCTGTTTACAAAATGGGAATCCTTAACACCAACTATACCTCAAAGGGTATTATAGAACTGACCAAAAGAACACGTGGAAAACACTTAGCACTGACACATTACAGTGGCAATGTTTTATTATTAGTATTACCATTATTATTATAATTACTACATAAAGGACTCTTTAGTACAGAAAGCCACTACAGGTAGATGTATTCAAGGAGGCACACCTTGAGGAACTAAATATTATAATGAAATTCTAATGTGTGTCTGAAATGGCTATGAGACCAGTTTTCTGGATAGAATGCAGTACTTATGAGGTCACTGTGAGTGTACCAGTAAGCACTGCCAGGGTACCCTGCGGGATCTGTAATTCTGCTCTGTACCTCGGAAAAGCATGGGCCTTCTCCCTTCTGTTCCAGGTACCCTAACATCAGTCTTTATTCTTGGTACAGTAGCTACACTCACCAGTAGAGTTAAAAGCTGGGAAATCAAATGTCTTTAATACCTATAGGTATCACTTCTCTTGGCTTACTTCTTAGACTAAGAGGGTTAGAGCCATGGTACTGTTGAGTGCTATGTGAAACTTAGTCCCACAGATCTTGAATAGTCATAGACCACTTTAAGGGTTTTTCTCTGCATCAAGCTTTCTATGGATGGCTCAGCACAGATCCATCTCTATTATGAAAAACAACTCAATTTGATTTTCTGTTGAAAATCAAATACCACCACTCTGATTTTAAAAAGACACATAACACCCTAGCTGGTTTGGCTCAGTGGATAGGGCATTGGCCTGCGGACTGAAGGGTCCCAGGTTCGATTCCAGTCCAAAGCACATGCCTGGGTTGTGGGCTCAATCCCCAGTATGGGGCCATGCAGGAGGCAGCCAATCAATGATTCTCTCTCATCACTGATGTTTCTACCCCTCTCTCCCTTCCTCTCTGAAATGAGCTGAGTCCCCATAACTGCCCTGGGCTTCATAATTCACTCTCTAAACTGTCCCAAAGAGACATTTGAATGAGCTGAAACTGCAGAGGGGCTGTGCGGCCAATTTCATGCAGGTACTTACAGATGTGCTGGCTGTAACCTGTGGGCTGGAGCTGGTGGATGCAGAGGTGTCTGATGAGGTGGAGAGCTGTCGCACCAAAGGACTGTGCGGTGAATGGTGGGAGGCTGCCAAGTAGCTCGAACTGCTCAAGTCTGTGTGATGCTTCAACACTGCAGAAGTCAACAGAAAAGAAGAATATGTGGCTACCTCTACCAACTCTACTTGTAATTCCTAGCAAAGGCTAGGAATTGCAGCAATACACAGTAAAGGCAAAATGCTTTCTAAGCCTGGAGGATAAAAAGATGAAGCAAACTGGTAAGGGGCTGGGCAGAGGTTGCTGCGGCAGTAAGAAGTGGCCTGCATTTAGAAGCAGTAAGGTCCCTCTACTCTGCCTTCCTAGAGTGAAGGACAAAGCTGGGGGCAATTAAGAGAAGCGCAGGCTGCCCCAGAAAGCCCCGAGCAGGTGCAATGCAGGTAGAGGTGCCGGGCCTGGCCCTACCTTCACTTCTCTCAGATGAATGGTCTCGCAATCTCATTTTGCTGTGGTTTGGGTCATGCACGAGTGGTGGTAGGTTGGGCAAGCGCTCTGCTTTTGGCGCTGTCACTCGCTCCACCACAGGCACAGACCCCACATCGTCTAAGTGCTGCCTGTGGGTCCTGTCAGGCCGGGTTTGGTGATGGGACAGCTCTGAAGAGGGGAACAGAAAAAGAGCTGTGAAATACCTTCTCTTAATCTTACTTAAATTCCGAGCTCTTGAGTTCTCTCTAGGCCAGTGATAGACACCTGGGGCAGCAGGACAGTCCTCTGGGGCTGATGCTTCTAGCAAATAGCAAAATGGCTAGGGAGCCCAAAGGGTCCTCAACCAGAGAAATGTGACACCAGGCTACAGAAGAGAGCCTGTTCACAGATGGACCCAATGCTGTGCCAATGATGGCTGTTCACTGAGCATTCTGGGTCCATCTGAAAAAATCCAAGACAAGTAAAGTAGACTATAAGCTGACTTTGTATAGTCAATTCCCAAACCCAACATACTGCCATAGCAAACCAGTAACGTGAGACTGTAAAAGGAACAGAAAAATAACTAGAGGACTCCCTGGTCCTCTAAAACTTACTGGCTGTTGTTAAGAAGGAGTTGACCAACTTGTGCCTGTCTTTACGAGTTGGATCTGGCAGACTGCCTGGCATGGGTGTTCTGTGCTTAAGTGAAAATTTTTTGGGAGGTTTGATTTTGTCAAAAGGTTTATTCTGCCACTGAGATTTCAGCATGCTCTGGAAGTGCAGGCTTGTGGGAACATCTGCAAGAAACACAAAACACCTAAAGGTTAGTCCAAACACCTGGCCTATGGGCTCCTATCTCATGAAGTGAGGTGAGTTCACCAGTAACTCTGACTCTCGCAGTAGGCAAGATCTACATCACACCATTCTTTTGTTGTTTTTAATCTTCACCCCACAATATTTTTTCCATTGACTTCTAGAGAGTGGAAAAGAGGGGGAGAGTGGGGACACATGGATGTGCAAGAGACACATTGACTGGTTGCTTCCTGCATGTGCCCTAGGGCAAGGGGTTGAACCCAAAACCCTTGGGTGCACAGGACAACGCCCCAACCAATTGAGCCACACCAGCCAGGGAAACATCACACCACGGACCACCCGTTGGCTGCTGCTGATATAGAATATCTCTTTATCTGAACCTTACGAAGGTCATTCTCCTATTCACAAGCAAGTCACTTTGGCCTTTTTTATTCTTCAAGTTCAAAACCAAAATACACCCCAAACACCTTTTGTTAAATCGATGGAGTTTTCTGTTCATATTCTGATGTTTAACTTTATTGGTTTGAAAGACTGATAAACATCCTGTTTCTATTCTTCTAGAGCAGTGATGGCAAACCTTTTGAGCTCAACGTGTCAGTATTTTGAAAAAACCTAACTTAATTCTGATGCTGTGTCACATATAGAAATTTTTTGATATTTGCAACCATAGTAAAACGAAGATTTATATTTTTGATATTTATTTTATATATTTAAATACCATTTAACAAAGAGATATAACCATTCAATATCCACTCTCTCCTGTGTAGCAGGCACTGTATTGTGCACTACATCTTTCCCCTTAAATAAGAACTATACCATATTCCCCCACTTTCCTCTAGAGCCTCACCACCCCAATTTGAGATTATCTAGTTTTTTTAGCTGATTAGTTAATATTCAACATCACAAATTAATCTTTTTAGACTTATCTCAGACTTTTAAGGCTTTACTCCATTGTATTCTAACATCCAGTGTGCAGGTAAGACAAACTGATTCTTATTCACTTGTAGGTGGATCTGTTCTCCTCTTTTAAGCTTTTGAAAAAACAAGCAAACAAACAAAAAAAGCTTGTTGTGGCATTAAACTGATTCTAATAGGTCAATGTGGGGAGAACTGCCATCAGTACTGAGTCTTTGAGTCCATGAACATGGTATCTCTCTCCATATTTTAAGATTTTCTTTAATTTTCTCTCAGCAATGTTTGTCAGTTCTCAATGTATATATCATATTTACATTTTGTTAAGTTTATTCTTAAGTATTTTGTGTTTGACAGCACTTAAAAAATTTCAACTTATAATTAATTGTTCATTGAAGGTATAAGAATACAGTAATTTTTAAAATATACTAATCTTATATCCTGTGATCTTGCTAAACTCATTACTAAAAGCTTTTCACTGTTGTAGATTCCTTAGGACTTTCTACATACACAGTATTTCATCTACAAATAGAGGCTGTTCCACTTCTTTTCCATCTATATGCCTTTCATTTCTATTTCTTGCCCTGTTGTTCTGGCTAGATTCCTCTAGTGGCAACCTGAAACTCAGCTCTTCCTTTTCATAGTCTCAATATGCTGAAATTTCACCACAATAGACATAGATGTGGGTGGTTTTTTGTTTTTTTCAGAGTTCTGAAAAGCTTCCCAAGGTTCTTTTAAATCTGAAGACCAGCACATTTCTCTTTAGCTCCCAATTCCTCCTGGGAACCATTAAACACCCGGGACATACTCAAAAGTTCTAGCCTCAGAGTCCCTACCACTACTGCAGCATAGAATGATGGCAATAGGCACTGATGGAGCAGAGGTACAAGAGGGGAAAATCCAACTTGGATATCCAAATTCAAATTCAGCACCCAGACAAATGCCCAGGTCTAATCCCTGCTTGTGCCCTTCTTTGTTGGCAAAAAACCTCCCTGTAACAGCTCCTACCCCACAGTTATCCTGTTTTCCATTATTCAAAAAAATCATTCTAAACTAGTCACTGATGCCCTGCCTTCTTTTTTCAGCACTATTACAAACATACTCTTCTTAACATATTTTCTAAACATATGAGGGATTTTGGCTCCCACGGAGGGTAGCATATGTGCTCAATATAAACTAGGACTGGGTGGGGCAAGAAAAGAGGAATAAATAACCCATTTTCTGAACCCATTACTAGGTGGCTGGCACTGTGTGTATATACCATTCAATCTTCCTAACAATTCCCTGATGAAATCATCATTATGCTCCTTTTAAAGATAAAAAACCAGGTTCAGAGAGGTGAATTAACTGTCCCAGGTTACACTGTTTAGTTAGTAAGAATCAACATTTAAACTCAGGTTTGCACAACCTTAAAGCCCATACTCTTAGCCACTATACCATAAGATTATTCTTTGGCTCAGAGAATGGAGAGGTTTAATTCTCAGGTAAAGACTGATGTTTCTCAAATTATTCCTAAGGAACTGGGGAGTACAGGATATTTTCAAGGGAGTTCTGCAGTTTTAAAGAATTTTACCACTCTTTCCTATAGTATAGACCAGCCGTGGGCAAACTACGGCCCACGGGCCGGATCCAGCCCGTTCGGCTGTTCTATCTGGCCCGCAGAGACAAAAGAGCGGAGGGTTCTCTTGCTCTCCCCTCCGCTCCTTCACCAGCAGCAGTGTTAACATGGCAACGTCAGGAAACACGGCCGCAGGTCCTTCTTCTGAGTCCAGTTTAAGAACCCATTGTGGCCCTCGAGTCAAAAAGTTTGCCCACCCCTGGTATAGACCATGGATTTCATGACATTTCAAAGACCAAGTTTGAACACTAGACCTTTCAGGACTAGAATGAATACGAAATAGAATATTTCCGCCTGGCTGGTGTGGCTCAGCAGTTGAGCATCAACCCAGGAACCAAGAGGTCACCAGTTCGATTCCCAGTCAAGGCACATGCCCGGGTTGTGGGCTTGATCCCCATGGGGCAGTGCAGGAGGCAGACAATTGATGACTTCCTCTCTCATCTCTCTATCCCTCTCCATTCCTCTCTGTAATCAATAAAAATATACTTTAAAAAAAAAGAATATTTCCATTTTTAGGGATGATTGTCCCTAATGGGCAAGCAGTCTTAGAACCAGACATTATTTTCTAGTTCTGAGAATAGACCACTGACCCTTAGGAAATAAAGCATTGTCTAGAGCAGAGGTCCTCAAAGTTTTTAAACAGGGGGCCAGTTCACTGTCCCTCAGACGTTCCACACAAGCGCACTGCGGGCCCGGGACGAGTCGGCTGCTAAGCAGGACAGACAGCGGCGGCAAAAACACCCGGCGCCGGATAAATGTTTTCGGCGGGCCGCATGTGGTCTGCGGGCCGTAGTTTGAGGGCGCCTGGTCTAGAGCAGTGGTTCTCAACCTTCTGGCCCTTTAAATACAGTTCCTCATGTTGTGACCCAACCATAAAATTATTTTTGTTGCTACTTCATAACCGTAATATTGCTACTGTTATGAATCATAATGTAAATATCTGATATGCAGGATGGTCTTAGGCGACCCCTGTTAAAGGGTTGTTCGACCGCCAAAGGGGTCACGACCCACAGGTTGAGAACCGCTGGTCTAGAGGCATTCTGAAAGCTGGACTGAGCTGGAACATATATAGGTGTAAGAAAGGGGAGAAAACACTTCCTCTATAACCCAGGATACCTCTTTGTCACCAGAAAAGTTACTCCCACTTGGCAAAGGCTATTTAATGAGACTACAAAACCATTGTGATTTAATTTTTTCCTTTTATTTTTCTCAGTCACTGCTCTCCCAAAACTGAAAATTAAGCCAGGGGAAAAAGGAGACAGTGAAAAAAAAGCAATGGACTAGAAGTAGACCTGGATTCAGGTCCCAGTACCATCACTGAATAGGAGGGAAAAACAAGAACAAGTAACTTAACCAGGCGTTAGCTTCTCCATCTGTAGATGAGGCAGCAGGACTGGTAACCTAGCTCTCCCCTCCTTTGTCTACTGGAACATAGGCTAAGCAATCACAGTTTCTGCTGGACCCAAAGACCGCAGACTCTTTTTTAAAAAATATATTTTATTGATTTTTTACAGAGAGGAAGGGAGAGAGATAGAGAGTCAGAAACATCGATGAGAGAGAAACATCGACCAGCCGCCTCCTGCACATCCCCCATTGGGGATGTGCCCACAACCCAGGTACATGCCCTTGACCGGAATCGAACCTGGGACCTTTCAGTCCGCAGGCCGACGCTCTATCCACTGAGCCAAACCGGTTTCGGCAGCAGACTCTTCTTTAAAAAAAATAACTAAATCCATGCCCTAATCGGTTTGGTTCAGTGGATAGAGGGTCGGCCTGCGGACTCAAGGGTCCCAGGTTCGATTCCGGTCAAGGGCGTGTACCTTGGTTGTGGGCACATACCCGGTGGGGAGTGTGCAAGAGGCAGCTGATCGATGTTTCTCTCTCATCAATGTTTCTAACTATCACTCTCCCTTCCTCTCTGTAAAAAATCAATAAAATATATTTTTTAAAAAAAACAACTAAATCCAGACAGCCACTATCAAACAATTTGAGTAAGCACAAGAGAGGACATCCTTGGCGTTGAGGAACTCCTCCTACAAACCCACTGAATAAGCAGTTAGGGATAATAATGAACTACTAATATTTAGGGAACTCAGGTAGCTACACTTTGCCAGAAGTATGCTGTGTTTTAAATGCTTTCATATAAAAGTGAACAGGTAAATCCCCCAATCAGTGAACAAAAATGATCTCTTAGGAATTGCTGATATGAACTCATGCTCTACCTGAAGAAGAAATGAAACCTAGGATCCACGCAGAGCTAAACCTATGGAATAAGATTGGATATAGAGAAGCTGAAAGTAAGCAAAGAAAGATATGAAATGGAAAGAAAATGATAGGGACCCATTCAGCTAGAGAATTTCATACATTCTATACCAGTGATGGCGAACCTTTTGAGCTTGGCGTGTCAAGCACTTTGAAAAACCCTAACGTAACTCTGGTGCCGTGTCACATATAGAATTTTTTTGATATTTGCAACCACAGTAAAACAAAGATTTATATTTTTGATATTTATTTTATATATTTAAATGCCATTTAACAAAGAAAAATCAACCAAAAAAAAAGTTCGTGTGTCACCTCTGACACACGTGTCATAGGTTTGCCATCACTGTTCTATATCTTCATAGGCAATGGCATTAAAGTGCTATTATTAGAAAATAAAGATTGCAAATACTTGATCAGGTTAGTAACAAGAAAACAGAAATGATTACAAACATCTTAAGTTACTATTTCTGCAAACAAAATGAAAAGACCTTGACTACAGGCTCACCAGGGTCAATTCACTTGACGGTTTTGCTCATACTCTTCCACCATTTTCTCAAAACACACTTTCTTGGGGTGTTTTGCAATGCTCACTTCCTCCTCCCGCTGGCCAGTTGTGGTAGCCACCTATACAACTAGTTGTCTTGGCAAGCTCTCTCAAAACACATATCTTCATGGCCAGCAGGTGGTGCTCTTATTAAACCCAAACTTAACTAACATTGTTTTCCCCAAGGTTATATATCCTCTACATTTCAAGCTAAAGATTAACCAAGATTAAGGAAACAAGCCCCTCTTTCTGGAATACTAAAAACTGATTACACCCTAATGCCTCCACATTCCTGCCTGGTTTACAGTTCCTCAAATTCTATCATCTCTAGCTATACTTAATGGGAGTGAATGAGGTCAAGAAGGGAGACAGAAATCTAGTATTACGAGCCTCAGTTGGTTCCTATCCTCACAAACTACACAACTGGTTCTATTTAAAAATGAAGAGGTTGCAAAAAGGTGACCCTGATGCAAAAAGGTGACCCTGTTTGACCTACACAGCATTATTCTAGCTGCTAGTCTTCACTGTTATTCATTATTCTACACAATGATACACAGGGAATCTTAATACTTCAGGGGAAACTATTCACATAGGAGGGTGCCCTGTGGACTTGTGGCCCTGCAAATCTTCCAGTTTACAAATAGATTGTATTCTGAGTGTGGGAGTTGTTAGGACAAAGAAAAATTATCTGAATAAGAACAATATTAATATGGTATCTAGGACCCCAGGTCAACTCACAGAAAGTCTAATTTATCCATAGGCAAAAATGTCCATCCATCCAACTTGGTATAGTAAAAGATACATAAATATTCTCCTTTATATGAATTCTCTTCCTATAAGGAGAATTTAATGACCATTTCTTGTTCAAACTCCAGTGTCATGGTTAGGAGCTCTGTGTGTATATAAGACAAGAGAGAAAAAGGGAGAAACAATAGAGGCAGGCAGGAAAATGATCTTTCCTTCTTTTCTCCCTCATTGCTACCTCGAGTTGCCTGGAATGGGATGGAGTGGGGAAGTATAAGGGCAGTGGTTAGATCTATAGATATGATCCAGTCAAAAGGACAGTTAATAGGGAACTATTAGCTATTTGATTCCAGTCAAGGGCACATGGAGGAGACAACTCAAAACTGTACATGGTAATACTGCTGCCAAAGGAATGCTCACCATGTTTATCAGTTGATATTCAATGAGTATGGAAGAGGCCTTATGGGAATCAGAATATAACTACCAGTTATTGGCTTCAGACTTCTTTTTCAAATATGAGACTACACAATTCAACATGGTAAACCTGAGAGAGTAACTAATCTGAGAAATGTTCCTAAGTCTTCCTGGTAGCTTCATCTGCACCTAGAGTGTGGAAGTGAGTAGAAACCTGACTTCTCTTAATAACCTGGCTGGGGAGGAACACAGAATAGAGAAAAATGAAGGTCAGGCATCAGATGACCTGAGTCTGAATTCTTCAGCCATCTAAAGTCTTTAGCCATTTAGCCTGAGATAAAACTACTACCTCTCCAAACCTGTTTCTTAACCTGGAAAGCTGAAAGCAACACCTTACAAGATTACTATGAGAAGCAATTAAGGCAGGTTGTGGGAAAAGTGCTTTTTAAACCACAAAATGCTATACAAATAGCAGGTGTATGAGCTATATAACCCAATGGCAAGAGAAGGTAGAAGTCAATGACCCTGGAATTTGAAGCAGAGGAAAATGTTTTAGTGTCTTCGATTCATTCTGTTTTAAGCTAATTTACAGCTCTACCATTCCTGACCTAAACTCCTGCCTAGCTATCTATTCATATGCTCCAAGTTTTCTAAGCATTTCTACTTTAGCTAAAAGTAAATGGCAGCAAGAATATTATCCCATGTCCTTTCTTTAGTCAAAGAGAGTTTTGATAACAAGTCAGGGAGTAGTTACAGAATTTAGGTGGTTAAGAAAGAATTCAGCCCTAGCCGGTTCGGCTCAGTGAATAGAGCATCTGCCCACGGATTGAAGGGCCACTGGTTCAATTCTAGTCAAGGTCACATACCTCGATTGCAGGCTCGATCCCCAGCCCCAGTCGGTCAGGGCAGGTGCAGGAGGTAACCAATTGATGTGTCTCACATAAATGTGTCTAACATCAATGTTTCTCTCTCTCTCCCCCTTCCACCCTCTTTAAAAATCAATGGAAAAAAATGTCCTCGGATGAGGATTAACAAAATAAACAAAAGAATTGCATTATTTAAAGAACAGATATCAGTAATGATTTTTTAAAAAATGCTTTTACTGATTTTAGAGAAGAAGGGAGAGGCAGGGAGAGATGGAGAGAGAAAGAGACATCAATCAGTTGCCTCTCATATGCACCCTGACCAGGGATTGACCCCTCAACCTTTTGGTGCACGGGATGACACTCACCAACTGAGCCACACTGGCCAGGGCCTATTAATGATTGTTTTTTGTGTGTTTTTTTAAAAAATATATTTTTATTGATTTAAGAGAAGAAAGAAGAGGGGGAGAGAGAGAGATAGAAACATCTATGATGAGAGAGAATCATTGAATGGCCGCCTCCCACACACCCTCCACTGGGGACCAAGCCCGCAACCCAGGCAATGTGCCCTTGACTGGAATGGAACCTGGGACCATTTAGTCCGCAGGCCAACAACTATCCACTGAGCCAAGCCAGCTAGGGGAATGACTGTTTTTATAAATAAAGTTTTATTACAACACAGCCACACCATTTGTTTATATATTGTCTATGGCTGCTTTGTACTACTATGGCAGAGTTGTGAAGCTGCACAGACTAAACATAGTATGGCTCAAAAAATCCAAATTACTGAGCATCTGTCCTTTTAAGAAAAAGTTTACATATCACTCATGCTAAAACATTTTTTTTCTCCTACAAACAAGTAAACCTTACATCCCACATAATTCTCATTCCTCAGAGTCCTCTTTCAGTTATCTTTTAACATATTCCTATCTCAATTACCCTCCTTGAAAAAAAATTGCACAGAATATCTGTGAGGTGTTATAAAGGACAGAATAGGAAGAAAAACACGGTCCCTTACCCTCAGGAAGCTTACAATTTAAGTAATGGAAAGTAAATTTAAAAACAGCCATAACATAACAGACAAAATACCAGTGATTTGAAAGGAAATGCTTATTATATCTGTAGGTTGGAGCCAGATCCTGAGATTATCTGAAAATGAATGAAATAATCCAGATTATGAAAGCACTGGATTCTTGCAGGTGATATCTAGAGCAGTGGTTTTAACATTTTTGCTCATGGACTTGTACCATATGAAATGCAATTAAAAAAAAATACAACATAAACTCAGAAATATTTTAATCGAGACCTTGACATGTAAATGTATTTAGCTTAATTAGCTGAAGGAAAAATCTTTCTTTTAAACCTTAGTCAATCAGACTTTTAGACAGAATGAAGTCTAACTTTAGTCTCTTAATATTTACTCTAAGATGACAAACACAGAATCTACACAAAATAAAATAAGGTAACTCCATCTTCATTTACTCCAATCCTTTTTTACTTAATTCCCACAGGATTCTCCTTCAGGAGCCATGAATTCTTGGAAATGGTCCCTTTGGTGTCCCTACTGCCTAAATATTTATATTCTGGGGCAAGACCCATATTGAAACTTAATATGAAAAAACAAAACAGAAAAGAGACTCAATATGGGTAAGAGGAATAATTTTCTTTTGTGAAATGGGAGAAGAGCAATTATGAAAAGGAAAACTGGCAAACACAAAGGCTTACCAGTAAGGTACATGAAAAATAGTACATGCTAACAATGAAGATCTATGCTCACGTACACCTTGGAAAGCTGTCATGTAACCAGTCCCAGTAATACATACACACCCACTAGGAAGACATTCTCTCAGAATAGTGCTGCCCACCCTATTTTACGTAATGGGCACACAGGTAATACATTTTTAAAGATATACAGGGATATAACAGACCACTTTGCTTGTGGCAGGAGGCAACTGTCCTTAGCCCCGCCTAGCCATTTGAAGTGCTGGGAGAAATCTTTCTCTTACAGCAAATCTGATGGATCTGTTGCATCCTATCTATAAAAATCTGAGAAGACTGTTGATAGAGAGCAATACAATCATAATATCTGAGTTGTACCAAGATCTTGGCTGACTTCCTTTCACTTTCAACTCTTTGAGTCTCATTTATCAGACTATATTCTGCGGCCTTTCTTACCATCTGGAAATGCCAGAACTGGGTGAACACAAGAGTCCAGTTGGGAAAGGCGTTCCAACAGAGGGGCTTCGTAGTGGATTTCCGGAGGCATGGCGTTGGCACTGCTTGAGCCACACAGTGCACAGAAGGGATTCACATCACAGCCAGAACGCACTGGGCTGTTGCGATAAACCTGCGAAGAGTCAGGCAAAAGTGACAATTGAGTGTCTGATAAAAACCCAGCTTCCCACTCATTACACTGAAGATTTAAAAGGCTTTTTCTAGATACCTATATGACACCGATAACAAAAGTTTGATTAGTTTGTTAACACTTCCATTTCTCCAACACATGAACCTTCAAAGTAATTAAGTAAACTTGCTTCTTTGTGATGAAATCCAGCTTTTTAAAGCCCTAAATGCTTACCTAGGCATCAAACTTGTTATACTTCAAAGCTATTGAAACTGCTTTCTAAGAACACTTTACAAAACCTACATGTTTCTACCACTTTCATGGTTCTCAACCATCTGTTACAGTGAATAGTGGACTCCAGATTCCCTGGTGGGATATGACTTGCTCTCTCCAGCAACTTCATCCACCTAAGAACCTTAATAACCAACAACAGCTGACATCTCTTCCTAGAAACACTTTCAAGTGGTTCCAAATAAGGTGACAAGTTTTCCTGGACTACATGGAACTCATTAGCTACACTTTAGAACAGTGGTTCTCAACCTTGGCTGCACATTAGAATTACTTGGGAATCTTTTTAAAATCCTGATTTCTGGGCCTCATCCTCCGGAAATTCTGTTTCTTTGTTATGGGGTGGGGCCACAACATTAGTAACAAAGAAACAGAATTTCCGGAGGATGAGGCCCAGAAATCAGGATTTTAAAAAGATTCCCAGGTGATTCTAATGTGCAGCCAAGGCTGAGAACCACTGCTTTGGAACAAGGTTAGCATTTAACAAATCAAACCGCCTTTCCACCCCCCCCCCCGCCCCCCAATTAATTGGCAGCACACAGTCCTAGAAGAAAAAACTAGCCTGTGGAATGGCACAATGAGAAGGGATGCTAGGAACAAGGGTAGTATCATAATAAAGACAGAAGAGTAGCCTCAAAAATCTACTATCAAAAATTCTGTAACAACTGCAAGAGCTAAATTTAGTTTTAGCACTGATATCACTTTAAAGCTGTTTATCTTTATGATCATGTATAGGAGAAAGATACATATATGCTCTTTATCAACATTCCTCAAATGCCTACTTTTTGCAACCACATTGATGGACGGCATGTAAAGAAGGTCCTGTGAAGGTTAGATGTATGACATTTGTTAAGTTATCTATATAAAGGCCTAATGTGCAAATTGTCACCACAGGAGTTCGACTGGGAGGTTGATCGCTCACTATGACGTGTGCTGACCAACAGAGGGCGGCGTGGAACGAAGGAAGGACCCAGCCGGCAGCCAGGGAAGGGAGGCCCCATCCGGCAGCCAGATGGCCCAGATCGACCCTGATCACCGGCCAGGCTTCGGGACCCTACCCGTGTGGGCCTCTAGTCTGTTAATAAAGGTCCAGCAATTTTCAATTTCCTGGATTGTGAGAAAGGGCTGTCCTTGTGCACTGCAGATAAGTAGCAGCATTCCTGGCCTCTGTCCCTGGTGCAAGTAGCACTCCCCTTCTTCCCCCTTTGTGACAATCAAAAATGAATACAGACACTGCCAAATGTTTCCTGGGAAAGCAAAATTATAGAGAACCACAAAGCTCAAATTATGGTCAGGCCGCCTAGAAAAATTCAAAGTGTGGGTTCCCATTAAATATTAATAGTGAAAAATGAGAAAGCTCTCAAGACTACTGCAGCCAAGGCAAAAGGAGAGAGCTTCAAGAGCAAGCCTGGAGAAGCTTCTACTAATCAAAGATGATAATCTTAACATCAAAAAAATTTCAATGCCTTGAAATAAGCCAAGTAAGTTTAAACCAATGACTTCATAATCTATACACATCCCCCTCATCCATCAAAGACTTGACTGATTGCTCTTAGAAGATAGTAGGAAACCAACTTGTTATTTTGAAAACTAGTGGACAAAAGAAAACAAACATGAACCATGCCTTTTTCTGTATAAATTATGACTTTGCTTAAACCAATATTGCAAAAAAGTTATTTTCTTCTTTTTTTTTTTAAAATATATTTTATTGGTTTTTCACAGAGAGGAAGGGAGAGAGATAGAGAGAGTTAGAAACATCGATGAGAGAGAAACATCGATCAGCTGCCTCCTGCACATCCCCCACCGGGGATGTGCCCGAAACCCAGGTACATGCCCTTGACCGGAATCGAACCCGGGACCTCCCAGTCCGCAGGCTGACGCTCTACCACTGAGCCAAACCGGTTTCGGCAAAAGTTATTTTCTTTGTATAGATATAGCCTAGCTAATAAACGAAACAGAAATTAAACAAATAGAATACCCCTAATTCTTCAACTCCTAATATAATAATAGGTGTAGGCAATGACCACTAGAGGCTGGTAACACAAAAAGAGAGACAAGACATTATGTGTCTTCTGATGCAAATTCTCAAGACGCCTTTTTTTTTCCTTGACAAAGCTCAAAATGAAATTTGTTCAAGCCTCTATATTCAACTCCCAGTTTTCAGCAAATGCAGCAGAGGAACACCACTGACTTTCAATAAACTAAAAAGTATGTAATTAATGAATGGAAATATGAATATGTGATAAAATGTGGTAAAATGTTACTGCAGGTAAATATACTGTAAAATCATTCAACTTTACCATGTTTAAATAATTTCATAATAAAATTTTGGAAAAGAAAACAATACTGCCACAAGACTACTTCCAGCAATTAAGGAGTAACAGGGACCAGATTTTAAAAAAAAGAAGAAAAAAAAAAGTATATCCTAGAAAACCAAGATGGTGGCATAGGTAAACACCAGAAATTGCTGCCTCGCACAACCACTTTAAAAATACAACTAAAAGACAAAAACGGACATCATCCAGAACCACAGGAAGGCTGGCTGAGTGAAAATTCTACAACTAGAAGGAAAGAGAAAAGCACACTGAGACCCAAAGGAGGTGCGGAAGTAAAGTGCAGAGGTACGGAGGCGCACGTGGAAAGAAAGGGCTGGCAACTGAGGACTCGGTTGTCTTTTTCAAACGCGAGGGAGTCTCAAGCTCCCGAATGCTCTGAACTCCAGTTCCGGGTGAGTCTCTGGGGACCAGACTCATACAGGGAGAAACTGGACTGTCTGGCATCAGTTGGAACTTGAGGGCGGCTTTCTCTCAGAGGTGCTTGCTGCGATTACCAGGACACTGAGACCCCGGGCCTCTTAGGGTAGGACTGAGGATCAGCCAAAGCTGTTTGCTCCACCCTGTTGATCCCCTGAGACCCCGCCCCGCCCAAACTGTGCACAGAGGCTTTTGCATATAAAAGACCTGGCCCTTTGCAATCTAAAATTACCTAACAAACTGCAGCTGGGTCAGAGAGACTCAGAACATCCAAAAGAAGGCCCAAGGCCCCACAGCAGCTTGCATTGCTTCACAGTTGGCTCTCATCTGGGCACCTCCAAACTCCAAACAAAGAAGAGGAATCTGCAGATCTCTCCATAGCTCCTGCGGGGTAGCCTCAGGCAGAGGTAAAATTAGCACCTCCTTAGAGATCCAAGAGCCCGTGTACCCAGTGGTCAGATTGGGACTATCCAGATTACAACTCCTCAGATCCATAAGGGACACACTCAGGGGGCAGACTCAGTGAGCACCAAAGCCCCATTGCTAGTCTTGCCCCATAAGGGTATCTTCAGCACAGAAGTTCTCCCACTGTAGACACAGCTGATTCTCACAGACAATTGGCCTGGAGGTCAATTCCTCCCAGTGATACCAACAACAATCAAGGCTTAACTACAAAAGACTGTGCACACAGCCCACAAAGGGGTACACCAAGAGTGTCCACCTCAGGTAATTGGGGAGGATGAGCCACTGGGCCCTATAGGACACCCAGCGCACAAAGCCACTCTATCAACACAATGAAGCATAAAAAAATGCGGAGACAAAGAAACAGGTCACAAATGACAGAAATGGAGGAAAGCAAACGACTGGATATAGAGTTCAAAACCAAACTTACAAGTTTTTTCAAGAATTTTCTAGAAACTGCCGATAAATTTAGTGAGACCCTCAAGAAATCTAGTGAGACCCTCGAGGTTATGAAAAAGGACCAATTAGAAATTAAGCATACACTGACTGAAATAAAGGATATTATGCAGAGTTCCAACAGCAGACTAGAGGATCGCAAGAATCAAGTCAAAGATTTGAAATACGAAGAAGCAAAAAACACCCAACTGGAAAAACAAAATGAAAAAAGAATCCAAAAATATGAAGATAGTGTAAGGAGCCTCTGGGACAACTTCAAGCATGCCGGGAGCCGGTCCATCCTTGCTGTTTCAAAGGACCTGGCATATATGGCATACTGTTCTTAATATGTTTGCTCACCTTCTTGGCACTATGTATTTTAACCAAGGTCTCCTCTCTGAGAAAGGTTGTTTCCCCAGGTAGGGATTTTCCCCTGAAGTTAGGGAGGGAATAAAACCCCTCAACTAAGTGCCAGGTGGGTAATTAATCACTTTAACTATGAACAGTCATGCTTAAGCTACATAATCTTTACTCCCTGGAATGGAGATAAGAAACGCCCTAACCTTTGTAATAGAGATTGATAGGATTGAATCAACTGGTATAAATACAGATGTAACAGGACAGCAAGACACAGAACTTAGGAGACAGAACTTAGAAGACAGAACTTAGAAGACAGAACTTAAAAGACAGAACCTACACAGAACCTAGAGACAGAACCTAGCGAGAGAATCTGGCTGAAGAACCTAGAGACAGAACCTGGCTACAGAACCTGGATAGGACATGGGAAGAGAACCGGACTAGAACCTGGCGACTGAACCTGGCTGGAGAACCTAGCAAGAGACAATAAACAGCAGAACCTCTCTGGAGATCCAGACCAGATCCTGGCTGGAGATCCTGGCTAGGCTGCTGATCAACTGAACGCTGTCTCCGTGTCCTTCCTTCTTCGCCGACTCCGTCTACGCCTTTGGGAACCCCTGGACCTGCTGGGGTTGGACCCCAGCAAAGCATACCAACATCCAAATTATGGGGGTGCCAGAAGAGAGAGAGCAAGATACTGAAAACCTA